CATTCCATGTTCATGGTTAGGAAGAATTAATATCGTGAAAATGGCTATACTGCCCAAAGTAATTTACAGAATCAACGCTATCCCCATCAAGCTACCATTGACTTTCTTCACAGAACAGGAAAAAACCACCATGAACTTCATATGGAACCAAAAGAGAGCCTGCATAGCCAGGTCAATTCTAAGCAAAAGGAACACAGCGGGAGGCATCACACTACCGGACTTCAAACTATACTACAAGGCTACAGTAATCAAAACAGCATGATACTGGTACCAAAACAGAGATATAGACCAATGGAACAAAACAGAGGCACCAGAGGCAACACAACATATCTACAACCATACAATCTTTGATAAACCTGACAAAAACAAGCAATGGGGAAAGGACTCCCTGTTTAATAAATGGTGTTGGGAAAACTGGCTAGCCATGTGCAGAAAGCAGAAACTGGACCCCTTCCTGACACCTTACACTAAAATTAACTCCAGATGGATTAAAGACTTAAACATAAGACCTGGCACCATAGAAACCCTAGAAGAAAATTTAGGCAAAACCATTCAGGACATAGGAGTAGGCAAGGACTTCATGACCAAAACACCAAAAGCATTGGCAACAAAAGCCAAAATAGACAAATGGGACCTAATCAAACTCCACAGCTTCTGCATGGCAAAAGAAACAGTCAGTAGAGTGAATCGGCAACCAACAGAATGGGAAAAAGTTTTTTCCAGTTTGCCCATCTGACAAACGGCTGATATCCAGAATTTACAAAGAACTCAAACAGATTTACAAGAAAAAAACAAGCCCATTCAAAAGTGGGCAAAGGATATGAACAGACACTTTACAAAAGAAGACATACATGAGGCCAACAAACATATGAAGAAATGCTTGTCATCACTGGTCATTAGACAGATGTAAATCAAAACCACATTGAAATACCATCTCACTCCAGTTAGAATGGTGATCATTAAAAAATCTGGAGACAAAAGATGCTGGAGAGGATGTGGAGAAAAAGGAACACTTTTACACTGTTTTTGGGAGTGTAAATTAGTTCAACCATTGTGGAAGACAGTGTGGCGATTCCTCAAGGACCTAGAAATAGAAATTCCATTTGACCCAGCAATCCCATTAGTGGGTATATATCCAAAGGACTATAAATCATTCTACTATAAGGACACATGCACACGAATGTTTGTTTAGCACTGTTTACAATAGCAAAGACCTGGAACCAACCCAAATGCCCATCGATGATAGAATAGATTGGGGAAATGTGGCACATATACACCATGGAATATTATGCAGCAATCAAAACTGATGAGTTCATGTCCTTTGTAGGGACATGGATGAATCTGGAGAACATCATTCTCAGCAAACTGACACAAGTACAGATAATGAAATACCACATGTTCTCACTCATAGGCGGGTGATGAAAAGTGAGAACACATGGACACAGGGTAGGGTTTACTACACACTGGGGTCTATTGCGGGGAATGGGGGAGGGACAGTGGCGGGGGGAGCTGGGGAGAGATAGCCTGGGGAGAAATGCAAAATGTGGGTGAAGGGGAGGAAGGCAGCAAAACACACTGCCATGTGTGTACCTATGCAACTATGTTGCATCTTCTGCACATGTACCCCAAAACCTAAAATGCAATAACGAAAAGAAAGAAAATAAAAACCACTGTTTTAGATAATTAAGAAAATAAATAATAAAAAAAATGAGTAGCAGTAAATAAAGTGCTTTCCTGAGTTCCTTTTATAATAAATGAGTAGTAGTAAGTAAAGTGCTTTCCCGAGTTCCTTTGATAATAAATGAATATGCAGTGTTTCATTTTCTGTTCTTGTGTCAGTTTGCTGAGAATGATGTTCTCCAGCTTCATCCATGTCCCTACAAACGACACAACCTCATCATTTCTGATTGCTGCCTAATATTCCATGGTGTATATGTGCCACATTTTTCCAATCCAGTCTATCATCAATGGGCATTTGGGTTGATTCCAGGTCTTTGCTATTGTAAACTGCTGTAATGAACATTCGTGTGCATGTGTCCTTATAGTAGAACGATTTATAGTCCTTTGGATATATACCCAGTAATGGGATTGCTGGGTCAAATGGAATTTCTATTTCTAAGGCCTTGAGGAATCGCCACACTGTCTTCCACAATGGTTGAACTAATTTACACTCCCACCAACAGTGTAAAAGTGTTCCTTTTTCTCCACATCCTCTCCAGCATCATAGGCGGGTGATGAAAAATGAGAATACATGGACACAGGGAGGGGAGTGCTAAACACTGGGGTCTATTGGGGGGAAAAGGGGAGGGCCAGTGGGAGGGGGAGGTGGGGAGGGATAGCCTTGGGAGAAATGCCAAACGTGGGTGAAGGGGAGAAAGGAAGCAAAACACACTGCCATGTGTGTACCTATGCAACTGTCTTGCATGTTCTGCTCATGTACCCCAAAACCTAAAATGCAATAAAAAATTAAAAAAAAATGAGTAGTAGTAAGTAAAGTGCTTTCCTGAGTTCTATGAGCAGCTCTTAGAAAATTTTGAATTTGGGAAGGGAGTCATGAGACTGTCTGGTTTGCAGCCAAGTCAGACAGAAGTTGTGGGTAACCTAGGAACTACTGCCTGTGATTTGCACCTGAAGTTGGGAGCAATCTCGTGGCCATTAACCTGTGTGAGGGGGAGTCCAGGCCAACTTGGGTTACTGTCAGAATTGAATTGCAGGACACCCAGTTAGTGTCTGTCAAAAAGTGGAGAATTGTTTAGTGTGCAAGAAACCTCTACACATTTTGGTGACCAGAAGTGTGTGAGCGAAGAGAAAAAGTTTGTTTCTCCTGTACATCTGGTGTCAGAAGTCACCTGTAAGAGTGGTAAGAGTACAAAAGAAAAAAACATTGTTCAGAACAGAGCTGCTCTCCACATCAGGGTCTTTGGGTAATCAGGCCCTACCCACACCCTCTGCGTGTGTCCAGGGAACTCAGGCTGCCTCTGCTTTCTCTTGCAGCAAGAGAGAAAAAGATAAGACATGAAAAAATGAAACAAAAGAGATACAATTCTCCCAATAAGAGCATCATCTTAAAAAGTATGTGAAAAGTTGCTTACCATTCCCCTTATTTATTTATTTCCTGAGTACCTAGTGTGTGTAGCAGGTATTTTAGATGGTAGGAGCTTGCTCTGTAGCTGGAAAGAATAAAAAAATAAATATCTAATGCCAGAGAGTGATGAGTGTTATTAAAGAAAAAGCAAAATAAGAGAGTGTTGTTGAGGTCAGTGAGGTGTGCTGCTGCTTCAGCTAGGACAACAGGGAAGGATTCTCTGAGGAGGGACTTTCAGTAAAGCCTGAGCAAGCCTTGTGAATATCTTAAGGAAGTGCTTTCCAGAAAGAGGAAGTGCTGAGTCTAAGGTCCTAAGGTGGCATCGGGTTACCTGTGACCAAGAAAAACAAGTGCTGGCTTGGAGTCAGTGAGTAAGGTGGAGTTGAAAAGATAGCTAGAAAACCCCTGCTGTTAGAAGACACACAGTTCTCTTACTTTGGCATGATCAGGCATTCCCTGTTTTAAAGCTGGGATGACAGTGTCCTCATAGGCTGGAAAAATATACAAGTGGTTCCAAAAGAAGATAGAAAAAATTTAATGATTAAAATAAACTTCTTCATAAGAAGTCTCCAGGCTTCGTTCATGGATTCATCTATGTGATATATACAAAACTCTCATGGCCCAGGAGTATGACCCTTTGTTATCCTCCCACACTTTCACACCCTAGTGTAAAGCAGAAGTTATAGCCTTCCTTCATTCATAGCCTTTTCTTCTCTGTGTAACTGAGATAATACATGTTTTGCAGATAATTTTCAAAGGCCAGTGTTTTACTTTCTTTGTAAAATAAAAGGTCTGAAGCTAGGCATCATTTAAACTGAACACTACACCCAAAAATACTTTTTGACTCCCCCTTACACTTTAAAGTATTCACATCAGAAACATCTTAAGGTTACACCGGAAAACCACTTAGCCAGGATGCCAGGAGGGTTTTGATTCCTGGTGGCTTTGCCAGGTTGGAGGAACCTGGAGCAGCCAAAGGTGGAAGTCCACTCTTCCTTCCTGTTGAGAAATTCTCCACGTCATTTCCATACCTTTTCTTACAGCTTTTGTTCTGCATGACTTTTCAAGAATGTTTGTATAGCAAACATCTTTGACGTCTTTGAAGATTGAGATAGTGTCTCCCTTTGGAACAGAAACCAGATTTGTTTCCTGGCCAGGATGATAATGTATCCTCTGGAAAGGCAGTTCACACCACACCTCTGGGGCCAACTGTGTAGGACTCGTTGTCTTGCTCACCAAGAGGGGCTGGCGAGAGGGAAGTGCGGTGGCGGCTCCTCCCGCCCACTGCCAGATCTGTCCAGAGAAAACCAACACCATAGAGTGCAGACACCTCGGGAAACTCGGGAAACTCCGAGGAAACTCCCCAGCGCGCGCCTCCCGCCGGGCCCCAGGAGCCCAGATTAGCCTGGCGAGGACGTGGGAGCCGGGTGGCGTGAATAGCTGGAGTGGAGGAGGCAGGGAGGTCGGGAGACCAAGGCGTAGTGAGAACTAGAAACTCCTTTCAAGCCAGTCCCGCAACTACTCCTGCCCATGGGTCAAAGGGAAGCCCTAGACAGGAGTGAACTTGAAGGTGAGGATGCGGAGCGGCCGGTAGGACTTGCGGCTGGTGTTCTCGGCCATTCCCTTGCCCCAGAAGTCGCTGGTGAAGATGCCCCAGTGGAGCGGGGCGCTGGGCCGCACGTCGAAGTTGTTCACAGTTGCCCACAAGTCGTTGTGCACGAACTCAGCCCGCAGGGAGCCAGGGAGCGGCTGTAGCACAGGCAGCACGCCCCGGGCCATCAGCACCTCCTCCTCCCCACTGCAAAATGTCCCTATCGTGCTCTCCCAGACCCAACACACAAACACCCCAAAAAACTGGAAACCCACGGGAGTACCTTCTGATTGCAGCAGCGCTTGCCCAGCCCTTGAGTCCCAGATGGCCAGAGTTTGCGCGCAGGTGGAACGGAGATCCCGGAGCGCGGCTGCCCAGGAGAGGAAGGGAAGGGCACCCCCGGGGTCCCGCCTGCGGTGCCCGGCCGTGCCCACCCCAAGCCCCGCCCCCATTGTTCTCCCCCGAGTGGGGCTGCGGTGGGGCACATTTGGCGGACCCCTCCAGGGGAAACCAGAACGGTTTAGCGGGAACCCCGGACGGTTTAGCGGGAACCCCCACACCCACCTTCTAGGGAGAAATGTGCCGCTGCTTCTTGGGAACTTTCCGGATTTTCAGCACCCGGAACAACAGCAGCGGCGCCCGGACAACAACGCTGTCCACCCGCCCGGCGCTCTCGTCCAGTCGCCGGCTTCGTGCTCTCCTGCCTGGGCTTTCTCTCACCCTCCAGGCGCTGCTTCCCGCAGACCCAGCCTCGGGCGGAGGAACCTGCGGGGACAGGGAGCACCTTCCCCAAAGCCAGGAGAAGGGGTCTCCCCAGACAACGACATCCTGCTCTCCCTGCCCGGGGATGTTCAGAGTCGCCACCGGCTGTTTAACTTTACAGCACATTTCTTGGTCCGCACTTACAAAAAGTCCCAGGTTCGAGTTTTGGTTTGGGCCTGGGGGCTAAGTTGGTTTCTGAAAAATTTCTAAGTTGTTTTTTTTTTTAATTTAAACCACTGAGACACTCTAGGAGATGCCAAGCAAATTATTCTTTCTTCTCATCCAAGTGGGTCACTGGGTCTGATGATTAGTTTCTCGTTTTTGCACAAGTTTGAATACTCCTGCTAACAATGTGTGGAGAAGTGTGTTAGGCTTCTTCTGGCTTTTGCTCCTAATTAGATATCCCAGAGTGCTGGATCACCTGAATTGTTTTGAGGTTTGGAAATCTGTGAACTCTTTCAGACCCCTTGTAAATTACCATTGCTGTATGCTATTGTATTTGTTACCTGGGAAATTTTACATATCCAATCAGAGTAAATTTTAATGTTGAATTCACCATTGGTTTGGAATTTTGCTACTCAATTTATTCCATACAAAAGAATCAGAGCCAAAATATTTGAGTAGTGGAATGCTCAGTGAGTGGAGTGACACATTCTTCTGGATCAAAGATGGTCTAAGACAAGCTTCATTTTCATCCAGGTGCAGCGCATTTTTGGTAAACTGAAAATTAGTGACTGAAGAATGAAACCGAAAATTTGGAGCATGAATGTTTACATGTTTTCCTCTTTTAATTGACGTTATTTTACACTGTGACAGTGTTAGCTCTTCCTGGGATGTTGGGTCTGTCTACACACACAGGACCTGCCTCCTTGCAGGAAACCCTCGCTGCAATAACTCCTCTGCTGTGCACGTCAGATTAATGGACTTGTATTAGAGGAATAATCTGCCATACAGTGCACAATGGAATGGGATGGATGACCAATCATGCTCAAAGTGTGTGTGTGTGTGTGTGTAAAATGCTGACGTTATTTTAGTGGATATTACAGGGCAGTGTGTTAATCTTTCCAAGAAACGTGCTAACATTTTTACAGAAGTATTGTACGGACAAAGTCTTAAACACAAAGAGTGGCCTTAATCATATTTTTCTAGGGAGCAGGCCTTTTCTTCTCCCTTAAATCACCCCTAAAGCCATCCATGTTCACCCGCTTCTTATGTGAGTTGTCTACTTTTTCAGAGGAAACCAACCTGGGTTTGCCTGCCAGTGGAGAGAAGTGGAGAAGAATGCTTCGAGGCAAAGAGCTTGAACTCCACAGAGATGGCTGAAAGGGACAGGCATAAAAGAAACTCAAACTTGATTCAAGGTTTCTGAGTACTCAGTGTTTCATTAAGCTTTCCTCTAGGTTCATTGGCCCCTCTGTTCCATCTGGTTCAGGTGATGCATTTGGGATTGACTTAATTTATGATATTAAGATACCTTACATCCTCTCAGAGATGAAGCAATAAATATTGAAATATGAAACTTTTAATGAATCTTAATCATTCCCTGATTCAATACTTTTCTGAGTTACAGAAAAACAGTGTAAAAGTGTTGATGTCTGAAGGTGTCTACTAATATGCCAACCCATCAAGCTGTCTCATCTTCCCTTAAAGTAGGGGCACTTAGTGTGCCTAAAAAAGAGACTGTGAAGGAATTAGATGAAAGCCTTGTTATTTAGTCTACGTTTACATTTAAAGCATTTGTTATTATAGTACTATTTTATAACCTTCTGAGACAACTTTTGTCTTCTAACATCAATTTACAAGATAATGATCATAGAAGTGCTTCTTTAAGGCTTATCCAGATTAAGTTACTCATGCCAATGAGGATGGACCAAATTCTTGAAGGAAATTAGAATGGAGAAAAAAATCAGAACAAGAAGTTTTTATAAAATTTGAAATTTTCTTTAGTAACATTTTATCAAATTACTGCCTTTTGTGCTTCTTGTGCATAGTTATGTGTATAGTGGAGGAATGTCTTATATCACTAGTAAATATGTTATCCCAGTGTCACAGAAGAAGAAGTCCTGAATATAGAATCCACAATGTAAGAAAGGAATTATTTTTCTTATTATAAACATAAGATAAATAATTCTTGAAGAAAAATGGCTCTTGAAGAAATTTTGAAGAATGTGAAAAGAAAATGAGAATATCCTGACATGTCATGCAGAAATTACCACTGTTAAATACATAGATATATTTATTCTAGTCTTGTATCTATGTATATAAATATATCTTATTTATTGTAAATTTGGACTACACTATACTATTCTATAATAAGCTCTTTCAAACTTAGTGACAAGTTTTGCATGTAATTAAATATTGTGCTATAACAAGCCACTTACCAGCTGTACAGTACCACATTATGTAGATGAACCATAGTTAAATCAACCAGTCACATTTTTCTTAACTAGGTTGCCTTTCATTTTCCTTTGCTATGTAAAAAAATTATGTCAAATATCAATCCCAAGAAATTAAATTACTCTCACAGCTACAGTATACATATTTCACATATTTTGATAAGGATTTGTCTGGTATGAATAGTTCTTTAGAAATTATTGCCCAAGAGCTCATATGCAATCTTGAGTTTCAATTTTGAGTTTTATATCTACTCCATATGGATCAGCTGCTGCCCAGACCAAGTCTGTCCTAATCCCAAGAAAGTATCAGTGTGTCATAATCTGTTACAGCTGTACCCACAAAAGTTTGATGGTAGAGTTTCAATGGTTACCAGTGTTACAAGGAAGGGTGCAGGGAATCCTTGGTTTTTGTCTTACTTTGGAGAAATAATTCAGCCAAGAGACAATAAGTAATGTAAGCAAAAGGTTTATTAAGGAGGTAAGAGTATCTCCAAGAGAGGAATGGGTTGACCCTGCTGGAAAACAACTCTGGGGTGGTCTGGATGGAAAACTAACAATAGCAGGGTTTATTTAAATAGACAGTACCCTCTGGAAGGTGAGTCACAGTGGGCTACTCAAAAGAGAGAATGAGCCAGCAGCAGCTAGTGCTGGGGAACTCTATGAGAATCTTACATGATTATTCATGAAGGGATGTGAGGGGATGTCATGTGCAATCATGTTTTAGATGGTCCCCTTGAGTGTGCATGCCCTGTGGTGGTACATGCTAATACACACCTTGAATGTCTCATTAGCATTTAAAATGTCCATGCGGGGCTGTGTTTTTTGCTATTATAATGAGGAAAAGGCTACTCTAGGGTGAGTTATTGGAGGAGTGTGCATGTTCCTCAGCAGGAAAAGTCCCTACCATGGTTGTCTCTGACCAGGGCCTGTTAAATCCCCTTGTGGACTAGAAAAGCTGAGCTGCAAGGTCACAAGTAGCCAGTGTAGCCATTGTTCATTTTGCTGAGTGTAAATGGGCGCATCTCCAGAATTTCTTTTCAGAGGGGATCCCTTGTCTGCTCATTTCTATCTGCCTACTCTAATACCAGGAAGTTACAAACTCTACCCTGTCTTACTCCTCCTCATCTATGATCTTTGTAAACATGTAAGCCCCTGAGATTCAAGATAGCAATATATCTTCTTCTTAGCTCTATTTCCATGTTATGTGTTTTGTCCTCCCTGAATAATAATTGAGGCAATGTGGTGTTGGTGCATGGAGAGACAAAGAGAATAATAAAACAAATTAAGGGTCCAGAAACCTACCTGCTCCTACACAGACAGTTTTTTTTTTTTTTTAATTACAAAGGTGCCACTGCAGTATGGGGAATGGGGAAAGGACTGAATCTTTAAGTAAATTATGCTGGGTAAATTAGATGTGAATATTGAGGGTGGGGAGGAAAAGAAATCTTTACCCCCACTTCACACCTTACAGAAAAATCAATTTAGATGGATCATAGACTTACATGTGAAAGGTAAAATGTTAAAGCTTTTAAATGACAACATAAGAGATTATTTTCATAACTTTAGATAGGCAAATTTTGTTTTAAGATACTCAGAAATAATAACTTTAAACAATTGTAGGTTGGGATTCATTAAAATTAGGAACTTGTGCTCATCAAAAGCAGCTACTAAGAGAGCAAAAATCCAAGTCACATTCTGGGCTAGATCCATAGCAGATGCCTTTGCTGCGCTTTATCTTTCTCTCTCTCTCTCTCTCTCTCTCTCTCTCTCTCTCTCTCTCTCTCTCTCTCTCTCTCTCTTTTCGTGAATGTCCTTAACTGAGAAATAGAGGAATTTATTAAATAACTAGGAAATAGCTTCTTTAACAGATATATAGTATTTCACCAAAATTTTTAGAGGTTTCTTAGAGCAAAGATCCTAAATAAGGTAAGATTTTGTGAACCAAACAAAAATAAGATGTAACGCCAAACCCTTCTTTCTTTAAACTCACTTTTCTTTCTTTAAGAATTGTTATTAACTTGTAAGAGCCGACATTGCAATCTTCCAGATAGGGATGCTGCTCTTTGACAGTGAACTGTGGCTATGCTTATCCTTCTCCCTCAAAATCAACAAACAACCCCCTTGGTAGGTGTTCCCTGCAGCCCTCAGATATTCACTGTCACCCAACCAACTACCAGCACCCTTGGTCCTTGGACTCAGAAATGTGATTTCTTCCTCTGTGATGTTATATCAATCAAATTAATCAGGAGGAACATATTTTTATAATGCATTTGTCAAATTAAATGATCTTTGAAATCCCTGAGGACTCCTTTGTTCATAATCAGATTTGAGCTAATTTGGACACAGACTTACCTGTGTCTTGTGCTTAAACCAGACACAGTTTGAAGAACTCTGTGAGGTACCAGATTCTCTATGAGAAAAACATCTACCAATATTGTTAGGATTATTGGGGCTGAACCTTACCCAACATTGCAAAATACCTTTTGATACCAGGAAAAAAGGGAAGAATAAGGACTCTGACAGAAGAATTGGTAGAGAAAGACTCGTTTGTTCTTGTACTGTATCTCGTAATACTTCTATTTGTTGAAAACTCACTGGAAGGAGGTACAGATTTGTTCAAGATCATAGGCTATCAATGGTATAATTATAAATAGCTTTCTGGTGATACAAAATTAAAATATGGTCCTTTTAAAAACTGATAATCCTGTTATTGTGTTAAATTTAAAATTTAAGTGAACAGAACTCTGCAAATGTAGCCTAAATTTAATAGTGGTAATGAGAAGAGAAAAGAGCATTGTGGAGGTAGAAACATTTTTCTTGTTACCTGTTTCTGTTGAAAAATATGCCACACGTGTACTTTTGAAATCTTTTAATTTGGGAATTAAAATGCTCAGAAAGAAAGGCGAATGATTTTGAAACAAGCGAAGAGCTACTGGATGTCCTGTCAATGGAATGCTGGGCATTGTCTAGGGGTCCCTACTGGGGTTATTTGATTCTATATGGGTTTATGTCTTTTGTTATAGTTGAGATATTTTACAATTCTCTAATTTGTAGATTATGTATAGTAATACAACAATTCTCATTGCTAAAGATATAAAAGAATTTTGTTAGAACAAGATGCAAATGATTATTACCCTGTGGATATTGATCACTTTTACATTTGTATTAAATATATTTCAAATGCATTCCACCATTCATGATTGCTTATAAATGTGTCTGTCTTCAGATTTTCCCTTGAACATTTTGATTGGCTAGGGAGAAACAGGGTTGGATTAGTTTCTATCAGTTACTCTTAGGAAGAATACCTTGCAAATATTGTTGACCATGATTAGAAAGAATTGGTTCTAATACTTAAAGATCTGCTACTTTGGACATTTTAGACCCTTCATTATGTTAGGGCATGTATGTTAGAACTTCTCTCTTATCAACCCAAAGGGAAGTCAGCTATCTAATGAGTCACCCACACATTTCATCCAGTGGTTGGTTATTCTTTCAACTCTTCCCATTTAAAAACCACATAGCCCAGTCGTGAGTGCATAAACTACAGGGATTATAACATAAGAACTATGGATGTTTTTATTTTTCTACCTAAACATTCATAGAGGCACAATGATTTGTCTAAGCACACTGAGAAATGTGTTGATTTATAGAAGTCTTTCATTAACTTCAGGAAGCATTCTCTTTAATCCACATTGAAATTGCAATAGTGTGGGGGGATATCTAGAGAAGGAAATCATTGGAACTGGAAAAAATATTTGAATACTATTTCTCTAGAAGCATTTAGATTCCCATCGTCTAGTAGAACTTATGTTCCACAACAAATAAAATATTCTGAGAAACTTCTTAGAATCTGATTTTAATAATAATAATTGTAAATATAAAAAATATGTTATTCTGTCTGAGTGGAAATAAGATCCATTTTTTTTGGCCTAGGGACAATCTGCTCAAAACTTCTCAAGAAGAGTGTGAATGTATCATCAAATACAAATACTTCAAATCAAATACAACTTACCTGACTTAACAATGTCTGAAACAGTAATGTTT